CAGAATCAAAATGAAACTTACCTCGGAATCGGAGTCACCGAGTTTGGGAGCAGACTGTTTGCGTGCTAATGTATGCAAATTTAGTGTCGTGATAAACATTACTCTATAAACACAATGGACCTTTCTGCCGATGTCACGTAATCCATCAAATATTTTCGCTCGCGCGCGATTGGTCTAAACGCGTCACGTGACCGACCATTCCCCAGCGGAATATCCGAGCCTATCCCCCAATTTTCAAAACTGCGCGTATTGCGAAAAATATTCGATCCATTTGACTTTGAAAATATGCTCGGATATTTGTCCGAGGATATTATCTGTTCCGAGAGGCGAACAGTTTTCCGAGAGCGTAGCTCGATGAAAACTGTGTGCTTTGAGGCACAGATAATGTCCAAGGACGAATATCCGAGGATATTTCCGCGCCAAATGGAGGTTATTGTTTATATATCAACAATATTTCGTATTTTTCATACAAACAAAAAACCACCTTCATAAATGCCGAATTTAGTGGATATGCGCAGTTTCATGCAGTTGGCCAGTTTGGTTGCCCCCTGGCAAACATTCTTTGTGAAAATTTGGGGTCCCATGTTTCCAAGCGATAGCAACGGATTCTTATGAAACTTGGCATATTTACAAAATTTCGCATGATACATCGAACGGTGAGGCTTTTTTTTTTTCTTGTTTGAATGAAAAATTCGGAAAAGAGTGACATCGGTTAAAAGGTCTGTTTGTATAAGTAAACAAGCAAATGATTTCAAGTGCAATTTGGAATAAATAAGAACAAGTAGCACATCCACTGAAAGCTAAGCACTCTGTCGTAATAATGTGGTCTGCAACTATTGGTCGAAGATTTAGTGTGGTGATAGCCTGCGAACAGGCTCCCAGCGAGGACGGAAAAAAAATCCGGCGATCGCGAAACAGAAGAATTCGGAGAGCAAAGCGATCGGGGCGGGGTCAGGCTCCCTCGCTTCGTTCGGGCTCACCGGGAGCCTGTTCGCAGGTTAGTGTGGTGATAAACACTAACAATAGAAGGTGATAAGTTGTTCTCACGGGAGTAGCGTGGAACCCGGCCTTACGTTTACCTCGTTGATACGGTCACCTCGTTATTACGGCCACTTTTTTTGTCCCGACGAAACGTCCATACATTTTCTTATAAGAAAACGTCGTTAATGCGGCCACCCCCTTAACACGGCAAACGGCCTCATTCTGAATCCCACTTAGTAAAACCCTTCACATTTTTACCCCGTTTAAACAGCCCCTCGAACCTGTTTTATCGCACCAAAAAAATCCATGTGTTGAAGTTGCAAAAAATCAAGTCACGTGCGATATTTCATGGTATACTACAGTATAAAACGTGATACCCGTTTACTTAAGCATGCACTACTCGCCAGACCTCACGCGCCCTTTGTTTATCTAAAAGCTAAAACCATTATTAATGGAGTGACTAATAAAGTTGCTATTTGATTACTACTACTATTTCAATATC